GCCTGTAATCCCAGCACTTTGGGAGGCCGAGGCAGGGGGATCACGAGGTCAAGAGATCGAGACCATCCTGGCCAACATGGGCTGGGCATGGTGGTGCATGCCTGTAGTCCCAGCCACTTGGGAGGCTGAGGCAGGAGAATCGCTTGAACCCGGGAGGTGGAGGCTGCAGTGAGACAAGATCGTGCCCCTGCACTGCAGCCTGGCGCCTGGTGATGGAGCAAGACTGTCTCAAAAAAAAAAAACAAAAACAAAAAAAACGGCCAGCTTCCAACACCCATCCTCTAGCAGACACTGACCGTTTCTCTTGTGTCTCAGTTTGAAAAATGAACAGGAGTTAGTCAGCAAAGGACATCCTGGACAAAAGGAAAGGTGCATGTGGCAGCATGATGGTGCAGAGCTGTCTTATGTTTGCATGAGACAAGAGATCAGGAACACAGAGCCAAAGGCAGCAAGGTTGTCAGAGACTTGATTAGGCTGGTCAGTATGTTTGACCCTTTTCTATTTGGCCACTAGGAAGCTCCCTTTGCATCAGATTTTGTGTCTACCTCCCAGCAGGCTTGGAAGCTGGATCTGCCTACACTTCCCTAGGCCACCTACCGGATGTCAGCACTCAGCCGGCGGCCATAGTCCACCTCGCTTCGCTCCCACCCCTCCTCCCGGTCTTCACTGAAGCTCCTTTCAGCAAAGGTAGGAGTGGGCTGGACAGCCAGGAACTCAGAGCTGCTGTAGACCTGGGAGGCAAGGCAAAAGAATGGTAAGCAGAATGTGGTGGCTCACGTCTGTAATCCCGGCACTTTGGGAGGCCGAGGTGGACAGGTCACTTGAGGTCAGGAGTTCAAAACCAGCCTGGCCAAGATGGTGAAACCCTGTCTCTACTAAAAATACAAAAATTAGCTGGGCATGGTGGCGCGTGCCTGTAGTCCCAGCTACTTGGGAGGCTGAGGCAGGAGAATGGCTTGAATCCAGGAGGTGGAGGTTGCAGTGAGCCGAGATCGTACTCCAGCCTGGGTGACAGAGCGAGACTCTGTCTCAAAAAAAAAAAAAGCAAGCAAGCTGGCTTAGTCGAGGGCTTCCTATGTGCCCGACGCTTCTGTTTGAGTCACTTCCCTAAATCCTCACTCCACACATCCCTAAAAGAGCACAGACTTTAGCCCACTGTGCAGATGGAAAAACTGAGGCTCAGAGGAGCCATGCTACCAAACTGTGTTTTTGCTGCTGACTACAAAGTCCTGGCTGGGGCCCAGGCCTAAAGCCGAGTGGAGTGTTTTTTGATCAAATCATAAACAAAGGAGGGAATGTAAGTTAAGATCATAAGGTTATAAAATAATAACAAATAATAAAATAATAAAATAATGTAATCCCAGCCCTTTGGGAGGCCGAGGTGGGCGGATCACCTGAGGTCAGGAGTTCGAGACCAGCCTGGCCAACACGGTGAAACCTCATGTCTACTAAAAATATAAAAAATTAGCCAGGCGTGGTGGTGCATGCCTGTAATCCCAGCTACACGGGAGGCAGAGGCAGGAGAATCGCTTGAATCCGGGAGGCGGAGGTTGCGGTGAGCCGAGACCGTGCCACTGCACTCCAGCCTGGTGACAGAGCAAGACTCTGTCTCAAAAAATAATAATAATAATAATTCCTAGCACTTTGTGAGGCTGAGGTGGGAGGATCGCCTGAGCCCAGGAGTTTGAGGCCAGCCTGAACAGCATAGCAAGACCCCATCTCTACAGAACAAAACAAGGCAAAACCAAACACAGATACAAAAGCAAACAGACAAGCAATCCCACATCATGCCATGTTTCCTGAGCGGCGGCGCCACCCGGGGCCCGGCCCACCTTGCTGAACCGGTGGGAGCAGGAGGAGAACTGGGGGATCTCTGTGGACGATTCTTCATCATTGGTCTCGTCGTCCTCGGAGCCCAGGTGGCGGTAGCGTTCTGAGCGTGCTGTGGGAGAGGGGCAGGTGCAGCACGTCCGATGCCCAGAGCTGATCTCGAGGGCAGGGTGGCGACGCGGGGAGGGCAGCCCAGGGTGGGGTCAGTGCCAGGGCAAACACTCTGAGGTAGGACCGTGCCTGGTGTGTTTAAGGACCTTGGGAGGCTGTGGTGGCAAAGCAGAATCTGGGAATCAATCCCAGCCGTGCCCCTAAAATGAAGGGCTGGGCGCGGTGGCTCA